GGCTTGATGTGCAAGGGTTTGGAGAAGCTACAAGACTTGGTGCAGCTGGAGGTTCCTTGTGTGGTGGGGAGGGTACCCTGGGAAGCAGACCTCAATATGAGCTGCATCGCTGACATGGGTTATTTGCAAGCTCCAGAGACGGCGAACCGACAGGAAGAGAGAGCCACTGACACAATTCCATTTAGATCTACTGTCCCTAGCTAGAGACTTTGCATGTTTAATAGATTCTCATTCATTTGGGATGACGGGTTCTGAGGAAATATAGAACTGTCCACAAACCTTAATTCTTTTCAGTAACCCTGTTAAACGTGTTAAGTTTGTGTTGTATTCTTTGACAGTCTCCTACATATAAACTTTGAGTCCTTGTCACCCCCTCACCTTGTCTTTTCCAACCTAAACCCTTCACAGCAGCGTGCAAACATTGCCACCCTATTTTTGACAAAGATGCCAAAAATATACCTTGGAGATCATTTTTAAAGTTCCTGGGAAACTGCAGACAATGCAAATGATTTGAAAATTCCTATGATGATTCAATTGAAGAGCCGTCTTCCCTTTGTAGCATTCCCTCCATAAGTTTTTTTTAAATCTGCTTATTTTGTAAAGCTTTTAACCTCCCCCCCTCTTTTCATCCAGCTGCAGACTCTCTCCATGCACTGACCGTTTTCTTCAGATGCACAAAATCCCAGCTCACAGTTAAATAACTATTCCAGAAGCTTTTAATCTGTAGTTACTATTTCAAGGATTACCTAGAAGCAAAAGAACCAACTTTGCAAACATAAATAGATAAGAAAAAGGAAGTTTGGGTTAAAGTCAGATAAGGCTGCCCAGAATAGCACATCATTAGCAATCAAGTGTGTGGTGTTTGCCCCCAGTGACATACTTATGGAAAGGCTTTCCTGGTTAATCCTGGGCAGACTTACTTTTATTTCCCTGCGTAATGTTTTATAGGTACCTCTATGATTACTATTAAGAGTTAATAATGTTTTGAGACTGATCTTAAAAAGGACACAGGTTTGGTTAACACCTAAGCACCTATATGATAGCTCACAACCACCTATAACTCCAGTTCTGTGGAATCTGACACCCTTTTCTATCCTCCACAGACACCAAGAATGCATATGGTGCACATATTTACACTGAAACACACACTTATTCACATAAAATTAAAAACATATTCTTTTAAAAAGTTTTCAAAGAAATTGTATTATTTTGGTGCAAATATAAAGTGAACATTTGTCAAAATTTGCATTTACAGTATTCCACCTTATCTACAGGGATACTTCCCAATACTCCTGTGCATGACTATAAACACAAATAGTATTGAATTCTATAGATACTATATTTTGCTATTAGTGTATACCCATGGTAAAGTTTAATTTATAAATTATGTACAGTAACAGTAACAAAATGAAGAAACTGTAACGGTCTACTTTTTAAAAAGTAATTTAAAGCTGTGAAACCAGCTGTGCATGGTTGATCATGGGCTAATTGAAACCATGGAAAATGGGTCCTTGAATGCCCATTACTTGGGAACTCAATTAATGAGGGAGCCAGTAATGTGCTGCATCCCTTTCAGAGGCATTTAGAAGAATCATGCATATTTAAGTAAACATGAATAAAAGGAATTTGCAAGTAGATGCAAGATTAGTATATACATTGGACAGTGAAGCACTAGATTCCACTAGATAATTGATCTGACTTTCTTAAGGAAAATCATTTGTATTACCAGTTTTCTGTAATAATGCAATAACTCAAAGCCAATGAAAGACTTAGATGATCAAGAAGGATGTAGCTAACGGGATATTTCTTTCTCTCTATGGTCCATCTTAAAGCATTTCATTATTTCCCCCAAGTGTTCCACTTTATCCCGGCCTCTCTTCTCAACATGCTGCCATACCACAAATTCCATACATAAATATGTACCAGAAAGATGAGGAAGCCACAACCCTACAGACTCACAGCTAAACAATGAACTAAAACTGAAGACTACCAAAAGTAGACGCTTGTAATGTGATTCCATGAAACTTCCAATACAAATGTTAAACCTAGGACTTAAGACTAACAACACCATAAAAATAGCATTTCTGCAGGAGTGGAGAGATGATCTTGCAGAGGAGCCTGATTCAGTGCCCAGTACCCACACGGTGGGTAACAGTAGCCTGTAACTTCAGTCCCAGTGATATAATGCCTTCACAAGTATCAGGTACAAACATGGTACACAAACACATACACAGACAAACACACATAGAAATGCCTCTTTTAAAAAATGGCATAACTATAAAGTTTTTCTTTCACTGACTAATTCTAATGCATTTTAATTTATATTACTGTGTATGCATACATGTGTGTGTGCGTGCGCGCACGTGTGTGTGTGTGTGTGTGTGTGTGTGTGTGTGTGTTATCTTGGAAATTAAATATGGAGGTCATGTCACCACCTCTAAAGCTCACACCCATCTTTTAAAGACTTCTCTGGAACTACCATTCTTCATCATTCATCCAGCAAGACCACATTAACACAAACAACTCTTGAAATGCCCAAATTAAACCTCGGTAAGAGCATAGGACTGTTAATACAGTGGTCTATTGCAAAGATTCTCATTCAGCAAGGGATATTCAGGATGAGATTTCAAAACATCACACTTAAGCCTCCTCACTTGCTGCCCTCTCTGTGGCCTTGCTTCCTCCCACTTGTGGCCGGAAAACTTAAGATAGTAAATGCACAGCTAGAAGACGTAGGGATGTGGAGAAAAGCTTCAGAAGAAATGCAGTCACTCTTGTAGTCATTTTTACAATCAGATAGTTTTCCTTGAAATATAATCTCCTGACTTCAACAGGGGGGATGTGTTATTTCATACCGTGCATGCAGCAGAGAAATTAAAATGACTGCCAAGAGACAGCACCGTTGCAAAATCGAATTGTTTTTAATTGGTCTGAACCTAACAAGGTCCCAAGTATAGCAGGTTGGGAGCTACTATAAATATAAAGTTATTCATCTTATAGGCAGAGAGAGCAGAGGCAGAGGATACATTTTGTGTATCCTAGGACTCACTTTAGAAAATAAAACACAAACAACGCTGGCTATACATACATATAGTGTATACCATATATACATGTTTGTGTGTGTTATACACTCATATACACACACACAGGGAGAGACAGGCAGGCAGGCAGGCAGACAGACAGAGACAGAGACAGAGAGACACAGAGACAGAGACAGACACCTAGACCTAAAATAATTTTGGGAACTGTCTATGAATCTCAGAATGTTTGGCCTCTCTAGCAGACATTCTGTTCTTATATCAGAGGTTAGAAAACTCTAGCCCAGGCCAGATCCAGATGCTTCCTCGTCCCACCCCCTACTCTACCCTCACCCAGTCTCTGCAACTAAAGTTTTGTTGGAGCATAGCCCCAGTGATCTACTTGCCCATTTCTTTCAACAAGGACAGACTTGAATGGCTGCAACAGAGGCTTCACAACATACGAAATCTAACCTTGCTTTTTACCAACAGGGCTTGCTGTAATAGTCACAGAAGAAGTCTATTACAGGTTGCATGCGGCTAATCCTTACCAAATAGGAAAAATCCATTAAACCTTTTGGGAATACTATTTGCCTCTGTGTCTCTACAACAGAAGATAAAGAAGTAAAATAGGGTACTGGGGTGAAATTTCCTAGGGATCATCCTGAGTAGCTATTCCTTTTACCATTCTGATGGATGGTCTAGTGACCTTTATACTCTAGGTAGATGGATCTTCCAAGATAACTAGAGTGAGGCTCTTTTGGAAGGATTTACCACACCTCCAAACGGTGTGTGTGCTTTGGGCAAGGACAATCCTCCTGGGCAGACTGATCACTTCTGTGTCACAGAAGGCCAACCTCAGACTCAAGAAGGATCTTTGTTTTGTCAACAGTGGGTTGGTTTTCTATTAGAATTTCAGTTTCCCTGAACTAGCTAGGAACTGTTTTACTGCCCTGATGGTCTAATCAGTTCATTTTCTGCCAAACTCGTGGTTAAGAAGCCTGGTTTGCTGCCTTGTCGGCATGCCTCCCTGTGAGAAAACAGAAGGATCGTGGGGGTGGGGATTATTATCCCAAAGTTCTTTCTCCAAATTATTATACTAACTTTTAAGAAAATGTTAATGGCTCCCTCTGGGCTTTTTCCCCTAGGGCCTCTCAAGGCCGCTGAAGTTATGGCCATGGCTGATTAATGAAGAGCAAAAGCTTTGGGGGAATTTGGATATTTTCATACACTCTAAAGAAAGTCAAGAAAGAAAGAAAAAGAGAAACCCCAAGTTCTTCTGGTGTAGCTTTCTTTCCAAGGGTGGGGGTGGAGGGATGCGGAGCAAACGTGTGACTGCAGAGCCTCTTGTTTATTGTAACATGCCCGTGGCTTTCAATCTGAGCGTGGTTTTCTACGTGATATAAAAAGACATGGAGTTCAGCCCCATTCAAGGAATGTGTGAGGAACAAGGCAGCGCCATTCTTGGAAACTTTTTTTTTTAAATCCCTCTTTGTGCATAAAAATAAATCCTGGGAAGCACACTGAACATGAGCAGGGAAAGTTACAGACAGGGGTTCCAAACTAAGAGAAAACTCATCCTTAGTGTCTCCAAGGGCTTACTCTGCTCGTTTTTAGTATCGGTATTGGTCTGGTGTAAGAAGAGCCAGCATCCTGGATGCAAGAGGCACAAGTGCTGGGATTTAGAGGGAGGAGAGACCCAGCCAATGCCCTGCTGCCACTAGGGGTACAGGGCAGTGAGCGAGCAGGTGGTCTGTGGCTGGAATGTCTTGCAGCTGGGAGTTCACATGACACTCTCGAAACACACTCCAGTGAGCTCACGAACTAAAGCGAAGCTGTCAGCCCAGGACTGGGTAGAGGATCCCGAGCACATCCGGGTACAGCTCTGGGAGCCGAGGCAGGTGCGATGCAGCCCCTCACAACACCCATGGCCTCCTGCCTGGGGCTTCTCACTCTGTCCTCTTGTTTGCTTGCCAACTGCAGGTTCATTCCAGAAGCTTGGTCGGCCTGCACTGTCACCTGTGGTGTGGGAACCCAAGTGCGAATAGTAAGATGCCAGGTGCTCCTGTCTTTCTCTCAGTCCGTGGCTGACCTGCCTGTGGATGAATGTGAAGGGCCCAAGCCAGCATCGCAGCGCGCCTGTTACGCGGGACCGTGCAACGGGGAAATTCCGGAGTTTAACCCAGATAACGCAGACGGACTGTTGGGTGACTTGCAGGACCTGGATGAGCTGTATGACTGGGAATATGAGGGCTTCACCAAGTGCTCTGAGTCCTGTGGAGGAGGTAAGGAGGGGAGCCCCGACCAGAGGCTACCATCTTCCGGGCTTCTTCTGTCCCTGCATGCAAACGTATCAGGTGGCTATCCCATTCCAAGAATGATAAGTGAAGAAAGGAGAGGCGGCCATTCTAAATGTAAAACATCCTGAATGGAACCCTGGCGGATTTCTTTCACCCTGAGTGTCTCCCGCAGTCCGCTCTGGGTGGCCAGTACCACTGAGTCGTTGGCTTGCAGCTGTCATTCCAAGGGTTTTTTTGTTTTTTTTTTTTCCTCAACATTCAGTCTTAAGTCTGAGCCTTTCCTCGGTGCTTTTGGGGTGAAAGGAAACCCCACCGCAACACCGCCTACTGTTCTCAAGGTCACTGGAGAGTCCCTGAAATTTATTCAGCTCGTTTTCCAAGTGAAGGAGTGTGGATAAAGACAGCGAACACCGTGCATAACAGGAGCTAGAGTAACAAGAGAGCGGTGACCAAAGGCAGACCAGGCTCTGTTCTGTGAGAGGGAAACCAGGGTGCAGCGAGGCAATGGGACTCATTCCATCTCTCACAGCTAGTAATGATAGCGCTGGGCCCAGGCCAAGGCTTCTGGTTTCTGTCCTCACTCAGCCCTTCCATCATACTATACCTCCTCTCGGCTCGCACAGAATCCCTGACGCTTTCTCATTATGAATATTATTTAATGTCGGATGTTTACATATATTTTCACCTGGTTCTCTTGGGTACATTCCATGGTGATTTAGAAATAACTTCGGTAATGTTTGCATTAATGCATTAGCGATGACCAGTAACTGTACGTATTTATAAAGTGGGGCATGATTTGATGTCTGTGTTGAAGGAAGATTAAAACCAAGCTAATTAATCCCTTCGGTGATTCTTGAGGGGATACTAAGGAAGTGTGTGTGTGGTGGCACTAATCTGTATGGACATGTATTGAGAAGCCAGGGCATGAGGTCAGAGGTCTTCCTGAATTACTCCCTCAGACAGTCTTTCTCAGAAGCAGGAGTGTGATGTTTCAGCTAGACTGGGTGGACAGTCCCCGGGATCTGCTTGTCTCTGCACCAGGGCTGGGCTTCAGGCACAGGCTGCCATGCTCGGCATTTCAGCGAGTGCTGGCGATGTGAACTTGGATGGTCATGCCTACCCGGAAAGCACTTCACACACTGGCCAGCCCCTGTCAGTGGTTATGATATGCCTTGCCATTATGGACAAATACATTAGACTGGTATTGCAACTATCGCCCACACCACTCAGTCCCAAGAGAGCTGCTTGACAGGTGACAGATTGCAGTCTGGTTCCCCACCCAAGTCTTAGAGTGTGTTGAGGCTCCATGTGCCCAGTGAAGACTTTAATTAACCAGTGGGGGGGGGGGGAAAGTAGTCAAATAGTTTCCCAAAACTGTTTTCTAAACCATGACTTTTGGGAAACTCTTTTAAAGGCATCTTTTGTTCTGGTTGAGAATGTAAGAATAAATGTGCCCACATTGTTCATTCACATGGAGTTGAGAGGGAATTAAAACTACTAGCAAAGAATGTACCTTGCTCTAGCAATTCTCTTTAAACAGTTAATAGTTCTGACCTCAAGGTTCTTGTTTGTTTGCACATCTTCCAATTGCAAGCCCTGGAATTGTTGGAGTGTTTTAATGGAGAGCCCTGGTATTTTAAAATAGAAATTCTTCCAAATGACTCTAGGGGACAGCTTCCTGGAACTCAGCTAAGGCACTGTATTCACTTGGTGTGGTTCTTGCGCCTTGAGGACTTCCTTTCTTTCGTGCCTAATGAGAGAGATGTGCTAAATCAACTTTGCTGATCTCTCAACCCATTTAGGACCTGAGAGGTCAGGGGAAAAGCTGGATGTAGTTGGCGGTTAACATTGATTCTTTGTTTTTTGTTTTGTTTCTGAGACGGGGTATCACTATGTTACCCAGGATGGCCTTGAATTTGTGAAATCTTCAACCCGAGCCTCCTGAGTGCTGGTATCACAAGCATGTACTACCATACCCAATAGCTCCTGTTAAATATAATGAATGACTTAGAATTCCGATGGTTGTGTTTTTATCCCAGATTTCCAAGATGACCTAAATTGAATGTTCATTATATGTACTCAAAAAACAAATGTGCTGTGAAACACAGCAAGGTTTCTCTGTTACGGTTCTCAGTTACGAGTCCAGCCTGGATTTTTATGAGGTGAAAAAAATAGATGCAGTAATGGGATATATAAATAACCAAATACCTTTATCTAAGAATCTAACTCTCCTATTGATCAACTAGGATTTAAAAATAAATTTTTAGGGTTTATGTGGAATATATTAATTTTAAGAATTCCCAGCAGAAACTGATAAATAAGATTTGGATGTTTGATATACAATTGATCTCTACATATAGGAACTGAAATTTTCGTATGACGTATATTGCTCTTCATTTACACCCAAGAGAGTGATAATTTACTAAAATTTCTTAGGTCTTCAACTGCCAACAACTGAGCACAATGTGCCAAGGTGATATATTTACACCTAGAATGTTAGAGTTGAAAATTCCAAAGTGATAAAAATACATTTGGGCTATGTGGTCCATACGATGCCCATATGCACTAACAACTCACTTCAATATATGGGACATGTATATTTTCAAGTTACTATTTGGCAGTGACATTTTCTTGTGTTATCAGCTTTGATCTTTCACCAACATAAAACCTGCAAGATTATACATATTTTAATCATTCTTGCTGGAACCAACCTAAAATATGCAAGATTAATAAATAGAATTTAAATCATTAGCGTTATGGAGCCAGACATGCTAATTTTATTGTTTCTATAATCTCAAGGTGAAATTGGATAGAAGAAAGATAATCTTTCAGCTAGCAGAAGTAGTAACCAGAAGGAACTAGTTAGTAATTTCAAGCTGCAGTTGGTGGCTAAGGTTCACTGAACTGTCATCAATATCACACAACAATCATACTATACTGGGAGATAAAAACACAGGAAATTCCACTTCCTTGAAGATGAAAGTCCTCAGGCCTGAGAATGATGTCCTACTACTACTCATCATACTGTAATTTCCTATGTGTGGGCTGGTAGATGTGGTCCAGGACAGCAGTTCCCAGCCTAAGTTGCCCTGTGGTATTGACTTCGTAGATGTCAAACTAACCTCAGAGTCCAGCCTAAGAAAAACATGGAACTGACATCAGCAGAATTTAGGACGAAGTCTTGGACCGACTGCTACTTTCCCTTCCTACTCCTTTCTTCTCCTTTCGTCAGAAGAGTAGAACCCAGAATCAGAATATACTGTGCTTACACACAGCTTCTCCATTGCTTTTATAATGTTGGTTTCAGGGGACTAGAGAGATAGCTCAGTGAGTTTGCATAGTGCTTGCTATGCAAACAGAAGGATCTGTGTTCAGATCCAGGTACCACATAAATATCTGGGTGGGGCCAGGAACTTCATGCCTGTAATCTCAGAACTTTAGAGTGAGGAGACGGGATTGCCGGGACTTGTGGTTGACAGCCTTGTTGCAGGCTCAGCGAGAGACCCTGTCTCAGAGAAATGGGGCAGAGAATAATAGAGCAGAACGTCATCTAGTCTCTGCATATGTACTAGCAAATGCAAGTGTGCATATCACACACATACATACACTGCATTCTCACACATACACAAACATTCATGACATATATGGATACACATTTGGAATCAGGATTCTATTATTTCTTCTCCGAAGTGCGCGAACTTAGGAAACTACAGTTCTACGTTTTTGCCCCCGCCCCAGCCCCAGTACCAGTAATATAGAGAGTACAAAGACTCCTTCCCATTCTTTCCATATTTCCCACTTCAGGGCAGCACCTCACTCATTGGTCCTTTCTTCCAGTCATCCCATCCCTCTCCTTTCAGTCTCTGTGATTAGATTGCCCTGCCCCTTACTCACTGATGTATTCATCCTAGAAAAATGAACTATGTTGGTCACAGGGTTGGCCCCATGTACTGTGAAGCATGACTGACTTCAGTCTTGGGTTCTCCCACCTAAGAATGCCCAAGCAACTGACCCCACGCCAAAAGAGACTTAATACACAGTGTTGCAGAGCCTGGCACATTGTTTTGTAATACCTTAGATTAAAACTTACTAATTCTGGAGAGCTTGTTGATCTCAGCCTGTGGCTACCCCATAGGTGCTTTTGATCTTCTATAATTAATGCTCTGCAGAAGTATATATTTGGGATTTAGAAATCCAAGGGAGGAGATTAGTGATGTCCTGCAGAAACCTTGCCTTTTTTACCCCACTCCTTGCCATCTTGTGAGGGCTTATGTTCTGTAAACAAAAAGTTCTCTGAACAGAAACAAGTTCCAGCCCTCATACACCTAAAGCAGGCAGTTTCAAGCAAGGCAAATGGCAAGCTCTCAGATCACTTACTGCCTCGGAGTTCCTGGAGAGCAACCCAGTTTCACAGGCTTTCCACAGCCTGAATGAAGCCCAAATATGTTTTCTAGAATATCTAAAATGCTATTGGGTAGACAAGTTAGTAGACAATGTCTTATTTATTATCAGGTTAGCATACAAAGCATTGGATTCCATTATGGCATCCTCACACATGTCATTCTACTCTGCTGTCAATCATTCCCCTTCCCTCCCCCTCTTCCTTTCTCCACCCCACACCTTCCAGCTGGTTCCCTTTCTTCCTTCAGCTAGTCCCCCTTTATGCTTTGTTGTTACGTGTAACCCATTACTCTACTTCCCACCCCTCTTTAAAGTTATCCCTCCCCTTCTGTAATCTTCCTCCTAGCTTTGTAACATACAAGTACACATATATGTGCACACGTGTGTGTGTGTGTGTGTGTGTGTGTGTGTGTGTGTGTAGACTCCACATACGAGAGAAAATCCATGATATTTATCTTTCAGGGTCTCTTATTTCATTTAACATAATGATTTCCAGTTGCATCCATTTTCCCCCAAATGGAATGATTTCATTTTTCTTTATGGCTGCCTAAAATTCCATTGTGTATATGCAACCCATTTTCCTT